TTCCCCCCCCCCCCCCCCGCCGGCGAGGCTTTCTCCCGCAAAATGTCGCCGAGGAGCGCGCGCAAGGGGAGGACCGCGCCGCGGCAGGCCGCGCGCAACGTGGAGCGCGGCTGCCCGTCCGGCACGCGTCTGAAAGGTGGGCAAAGGTCATTGCGCGTCGAACCCGCGGAGAAACAGGCCCTTCCAGCTTCGTGCGTGTCCGAGCGCTGTAAATGCTTTAGAGCGCCCGGAGGCGGCATGGTGAAGGGAGGGTTGCCGGGGGACTGTGCTCGCGTCGAGCGCGCGGTTCTAGTTTCGGCGACATGCAACTTTACACCGCCTTCATACTGGTACAAGTACGCCTTTCTCACTTGCCACCACGGTTACTCTAATTGCGCCGCACTTCCCCATTCGTTGCTGCCACTGGCGTGTGGCAGTCAAGCGTGTAGAAGCAACCTGCCTTTATGTGCGTGACCCACCCCTCCTCGTGAAGCAATTGCACCTGAACACGATTCTGTTCTCCTTCGTCTTCCTCGGCTTGCACTTGACGACCCCGACTCTGAGCTTCACGCCGCCGCCCGCCATACGCGTCGTCCCCTCCTGGTCCGTCGCTTCCGTCACGGGGACTTGCACGCTCATCCCATTGTACAGCATGAGCTGGATGGCCTTTGATGGTAGCACGATCCGCATCGACCGCTTCTTCTTCAGCCGGCACTTGATCTTGAATTTACCCTTTAGAAACTGCGCCGACTGTCCCTGCGATGGGCGCGGGCTGAAGTGCGCGCTCAGCAGGTTGCCAATCCTCGACAGCACCTCCAGAAGCCCGAACACCGCCTGCTTGCTGAACGGAATAATTCCGAGACCACTTGACCCTCCCATGCGTGAGGAAAGCTGTTGAGTTTTCTCCGAAACCACAAGCTCCGACGTTTTTCCTGCCATCGGCTGGAAGCCGACGGCAGCTCTGCTCGTCCCACTTCCATCACGCAAACCCACGTCACCATCTACACCATAAAAAGACGCGTTCCTGCGTGCCTCCAGCGGCGGCCGCTGCGAAGTCGTCGGCGTAGGTGCAGGCGTCGGTGGGGGTGTCCGTGGGGGTGTCGACGGAGCTTTCGTGGGGTTTCCCGAGTTTGCTGCCCTCGTGTCTCTGAGAACCCTCTGCACGTTGCACTCGCTCAGCGAATTGAATATGATGTGGATGAGACGATAGACTTGAACTCGGCCTCGCGAATCTCTGAAAGCAGCGCAGCGTTGATCTTGTTGCTCGAAGTCGAGATCCAGAAGCGAGCGACACAAGTCGCGGTTGTTCTGGCTTAGTCCCACTCGAGACCTTGCCACGAAGCATGCGCACCCGCCAACGGTTCTCAAGTCCTCAAAGACGCACGACGGGTTGAGGGTTTTGCGCTGGCGAACGGCTAGCGCTGCGGGAGCTCCAGCGCTCCACGCCGGGGAAGCAGCGGTCCAGGCGGATCGGACGTGGCTGAGAGGGTTGCTAGTTAGGAATTTTGGTAGAGTTAGCTGCCATGCCTGGGCGAGTCCGGCAAATGCCAAGGCTAGAAGGGCCGTCTTGAACAGCATTGGCGGCATTGAGAGATGTGGCAGGCGCGAAGGTTCTCCGTGCACAGAGCGGCGGTTGAGGTTTCGTCATCTGTGGACGGGGGCGGCGAACGGCAGAGATCATTTTTATAGTTCATAGAGCGGAACATAGGTGATGATGTTTAGCGGGCGGATATCGCGGGCGGATTTCGGTATGTGCTGGATCAAAACGTGTGCCTCTCGAGACTTTTAAAGGACATGAAATGGTGTCATGTAGCAAGGTTAAACTGAAAGGACAGCGCAGGTTGGTGCAGGTTGGTACAGATGGTTATATATAATATCGGATATGGTGGGCATTCTACCGTCTAATGGGGTTTATACACGGGAAAGAGATGATCACGACTGTTCGGTGAGGTTGGGATGACTGTACAAAGCGGTCTACAGCACATACTGTACTGTAGATATATGCGTGTGGGAGATGTCTTGTGATGCGGAATAAGCTCCAGAGGGACTCGGGAGAGTGGAGACAAACTCTGGAGACAAACTCTGGAGACAAACCCTGTTCTGCCGCTGGGACAAAACGCATGTCAAAGGGGTTCTGATGGAATCCAAGGGTACCAAGGGTATATTATACTGTATGTTGTACCCTTCCTGAAAGGGGCAATTTGGTAATCGGGGGCAATTTGGTTGTCGACGAGAAGAAGCAGTTTGTTTTGTTTCTATTCCTCCTCGCTGTACAGAATTCCGCTGGCAATTTCGGGCCGCCTATTGCCCGCTTGGTTGCAAGTAGTAGAGCTACCAAGGGTACGGTATAACCCCAATAAGCAGAAGTGGAAAGTAAGTAGTGCACAGTAAGACTGCTTCACATGCTCTCCAAAAATACGCGGGTCTCCCATGTTCCGTGTGATACGCATGACGACAAAGCCCGAATAAAGTACCTGTAGAAAAGTAGCGGTGCAACCGCATGTCTTGCATTCATGCAATGCGGCCCTGTAAGAGGGAAGGTTGCGCATGTCGATTAACTCAGCGTGCCGAGATGTCCTGCACCAGTTACTAGAAGGCAAAGGCAAATTAAGGCAAGTGTGCAGGCGCGCAAAGCAACTGCTTTGCGGCCCACCACCAACTGTTCTTGAAGAGCGGAATACAGTACATGGCACACTAAGGTTACAGAGTAAAGTCCCTCTCGACTGACGGCCTCCAGTAGTGACAGTCCTTGTTGTTGTGAGCATACGTACAAGTATATGCCGTCCAGGAAGTGCACTCGTAAAAGGCCTTCCTTGTCCGCTCTTTATGGCCTCCTCCTATTGATACGCGCATCAAGTCAAAAATGCCGGCATTGCATTTCGCCGCCTAGAGCGGCATGGGACCGCCCTCTTCGCGCGGTTGGGGTCGTGGGCTTGCACTGTAACAAATCATGTAATGTAACAAATGCGTGAAGCGAGAACACCGCAAAAGGACACCGCATCGGAAATGTGGAGACGAGTTGCGACGTACCCTTCGAAGGGTAGCTGTCGTTTTGTTATGTTATGGAGAGCGGAGGGGGTGTTCGCGCAGAAGGGCTATTACCCCAAATCTGTCATAGGCGAGACGGGATGCGATCAGTTACCCTTGGTAATAATGATCGCCCTGCTTCAGCAAAGTTCATGCCCGGGGTGTATTCCTCTACCGCAGCCTGTGATATTGCAATACTGTACCCTTGGTACTGTAATACGTAAGGGTACACTAACCACGCGTACTGTTGGGATAACTGTTACAGTACAGTACCCTTGAATGGTCGACTTTATTGAGAGAGTAAATTATTGGGGCGGCCCGACACTAGAGCATCAGGGTCTACCGAGGGTCCGTAGAGCAACCGGGGGAAGCCGTAACCTACGTCGGTTTACGCCACAGTATGGTACTGTACAGCTGTACCCTAATCGCCTGGCATAGAGCAACCTGTCGGATGGCAATGCTCCCCAATTCCATTTATTATCTCCGAGGGTTGGCGATCAAGTGCTCTGATGAATCGTAATCCTCATGGGCTGGCTTTACTCGTCGTCGCCGTCGCTCCTATTAAATACTGTTGTGGACAGACTGTAATATGGACAGTCTCCTCCCCCCGAGGGGCCTCGCCTGTCTCTGATCCTCCCTTGCCTACTTGTACTCCCTTCTCCCTCCCTCTCCCCCGCCAACCGCGCAAAACGACTGCCCCCATCGCAGCTGATAAATCGTGGCAGACCAAATTAAGTGACCTTACGTGAGCGCACTACCCCTCTTAAATTTTTTCTGAGATGAATTCAGCTATTGTACACCCCTAAAGCTATTGCCTATATTGGACAAATAATATAATTTACTATTTTTTCTAGACAACGCAAACCGCCATTTAACTTTTGTTTTGAAGAAGGCAAAGCACATGCTCAGCGATTCTATCGCAAGCCAACTCGTTGATGCACACAAAGATGTTCAAAAGAAAATATTGTTGTACTGTACAGCAACTGTTTTCTACTCTGATATCCTCGACTCAAAAGCGCGTCCCATAAAATTCTGCGAGCACTTCACAACAACCCCAACCCACACTCAATTGTCCCAAATTTTTCTCAGGGACAAGCGAAAAAGATCAGTGCTGGCTTCTGTCCCGGAAAATTATCTTTATTGTCCACAGAAATGTGTTTTCTCCCGAAAAAGAAACCAGAGCCGTTGACGGCTGACGTCAGCTCGCGGTAAGCATGGTAGAAATGCCGAGTCCCTAAAAGACAAAGCGCTTCTGGGTGATACAGTGTTTTGTGGAGACCAATTTCTGGGGCATTTGTGGAATTGTTTAGAATGAGCAAGCGTGCAAGTGGTCACTTGCGCATATACTGTACACAGAAATATGAGCTTCAAAATTAACCTGGCCCAGGTTAAATACTGTGATCAGGTGTAGAGAGTTCTGCATGGAAGATTTAGATAGATGCAAGTACCTTTGCTAGAAGTCCTGCTGTACAAGGGGTTATCTCTAGTGCCAAGCACGAGCTGAAGGCAGAGCACAGGTTCGTGGACGGCGCGGCGAGAAAAAAACTGGAAGAACAGTGAGAGAAACTCCAGGACAGATCGAGACCAGTGGAGGCAAGCAGAGTCGTGATTAGAGAATGCTCTATCGACTTTTAAGCGCATGCGAAGAGTTGCCACGACCTCGGAAGGTGTGATTATATGACGCATACCAAGGGTAGGAGACGCCGCGGCATACATGAACAGCGGACATGCTCTCCCCCGGTTGCCATGGGTGGCCCAGCAAACAGCCCACATATGACACTCAAATGCGGATGAACTTTTCAAACAGTCAGAGAGAAAGGATGGGCCCTCCGACTCGTCTCCAAAACGCCATACCCAGAGACGCTGAACAAAAGCACACAACCGCAAACGAGATCAGCGCCGACCCCTCCTCCCACTCACCGCTGCCCCGTTACCATCAATTCTTATTACTCATCTGTCCCCACGGTACTCAACTGCTTGTAAACAAAGGCGATCCCAGCAGGGATCGTTCAGGCGTCAATCACCATCTATTGCGAACCATCCTTGCAGCAGAAGCAAAGTATCACTCACAGACGAAGCAAAGCGTTGCGGCCAAAGTAGGGAATCATCACGCATTAGCGTCCAGAGACATGGACGCAAATATCCAGCTAAAAGTGAACGATTATGTATTGAAGTAGTCATAGTAAATTGTGAATCGTGCATGACACATGCGTACGACTGAAGAGGACAGGCGGGATAGAGAAATTAATGCATGCGCAGCTCACAAGCGCATGCACAAGATACTTGCTGCAAAGCAAGGAGCGGCCAGACAGTTCTTCGGTGCCTGCAATGCATTCGTGGAAGAGAGGGTGGTCTATACCAATAGGTCAAGTGGTTGACGGATTTATCTCTGCTGGTACAAGACGCCGTGGTTGTGGTTTGTGATTTTGGAATTGAATTTGGTCACTGTAGAATGTGGGGTAGACTAGAAGCAGATGCAGGGTTTCTGCGCTTTCGCTTTCGCTCAATAAAGAAGTCATGCTTGCATCCATCTTGCACGCATTCGAATGCACCAAAGCAACTTGGATTCCGCTCGTACTTTTGTAGACCCACGGGGTGTCCGCGATCAAAAGTGCGCGTTGAAGAACGCATACGGCTGATTATTTCGGACGAAGCATCGTCGTGAAGTAACGGCGGAATGAGTGCCGTTCGTGGCTGAGTGCTCCGGACAGATTAGTTGCCCTGAAATAACATGCCGCGGAGCTACAGAAGACGTTTCGTTTTGTACTGAATCCATTAAGCCATTAAGAATGGTTGTGTTTTTCCTCAAGTCTAGAATTGCCTCAGAGAGGGTTCGGATCGGGGAGCATCGCCGGCAGCGCCGCCCTTCGCCTGGACCCTCCTCCTCGCTGCCTACCAGCGCGCCCGCAACCCTCGCGTTCCGATGTCGTCCGCGCGAGCGAGCGAGGAACTTTCAGGAACTTTCAAACTGATCGGTTGCTACACTCGCAATAGTCACCACGCTTTCATCTCCTTCATACTCTCGGATGGGGAATGGATCAAGGGCATGCTTACCGTGACAACACCATCTTCCAGAACTCTATACCATAGTCCTTTAGAATATTCGTTGAGCTCACAGTCGCACCCTGTCGCACTTATTAACTGCTATGCCGCTTATGTACCTGTGGTTTCTTATTGCTTGAGTCTATGTTGACCGCAACTACAGATGAGCACACTCATGGACTTTTCCTCGTCTTAGTTAATGCCCTTGAAGAGGATCAAGTACTCCTCGGGCCCCCACAGTAGAGCATGGCTTCAAGGACTTCTGCGACGCATCGAGATGGGAGACGCCCATCTCGATGACGACCTCTCTTTTATGCCGAGCTGTTTCCTAATTTTTATCCTGTTGTTGTCATACGTGTACACGCATTCCACGTGCATACACGAAATGGTACAGTAGCCGCCACTCCGTTCGAGCGGTGGTGGTCATCTTCTTCACACGCCGCTAACACAAAGCTGCAACGATAAAAAGCAACTGGTCCCCTCACCCTCAACCTTGACCAAGGCGAGCAGCCGCATGTCCCCGCGATGGACGCGGCCAACATTATTGGCCAAACCCCGCGCCTCAAAGGTTCGTCTCTCAACCCCCTTGTCGCCGCGGTAACCTCGCACTGACCCTTCCCCCCTCCTCCCAGTCTTCAAGGACCCCATCCACGGCCACTTCGAGCTCGCCGACCCGGCCCTCGCCTGCGTCGACACGCCGCACGTGCAGCGCCTGCGCGACCTCAAGCAGCTGGGCTCCAACTACCTCGTCTTCCCGGGCGCGAGCCACAACCGCTTCGAGCACAGCCTGGGCGTGGCCCACCTCTCTGCCGCCTTCGTCGACCGCCTCTACGCCAACGCGCGCGACCCGTACGCACGCCGCCAATACGACAACCCCCGCCACTACCGCCACGCCCGCACCCTCGTCCAGCTCGCAGGCCTGTGCCACGACCTCGGCCATGGCCCGTATTCCCACCTCTTCGACCACGTCTTTCTCCCCGCCGTCCCGGGTATGGCCGCACACCCCATGCGCTTGCACGAGGCCCGCTCCGCTATGATGTTCCGCCATCTCGTCGATGCGCACGCCGTCGATTTGCAGCCGCCTGACGTCCGCCATGTCGCCGACCTCATCGCCGGCCGGGGCCGGGAGGGCGCGCCGTCGCTGCGCCCGGCCTTTCTGTATGACATCGTCGCCAACGCGAAGAACGGCATCGACACGGACAAATTTGACTACCTCGCCCGCGACGTGTACAGCTTGGGCTTGCAGACGGCCTACGGCTTCGACCACCAGCGCCTCATCAGTTTTGCCAAAGTCGTGCGCGACGACGTCTGTTTCCACAGGAAGGAGCTCTTTAATGTGCACAACCTCTTCCTTACCCGCTTCCAACTCCACCGTACGTTCCCACCAACGCCGTTCGTCCCCGCCTTGCGCCGTATACATTTTGCTGACAGTCCGCATGCCCCATTTCACCCACAGGTACGATATACAACCACCGTGCCTCACTCGGCATCGCCGCCATGGTTGCCGACGCCTTTCTCGCGGCAGACCGCCCGCTCGCCATCTCGGCCTCCATCGCCGACCCAGTCGCCTTCATGCGCCTCACTGACGCCCTCCTCCCGGTCATCGAATACAGCACCGACCCCGCCCTGGCGGCTGCACGCAAGATTGTTCGCCGCATCCGTACCAGAGACCTCTACCGCTTCGTTGATGAGATTCTGCTGCCGCCGGGCCGAGTGTGCACCGTCGCGCCGCAAGACATCACCACCTGCCAGGACCTTTCCACTGGTGTTAACTTGGTACCGGAGGACGTTTACGTCGTCCATGTGCCGCTCCACTTTGGTATGAAGTCAAAAAATCCCGTCGATAACGTCTTATTCTTCAAGGACTGGTTCGTTGTCTTGCTATTCCATTTCATTTTCTCCTCCGCGGCTCAACGAGCCAACCTTTGTGCAGCCTTGACCACTAACTCGTGTACGACTCCCAACGATATCGCATCCCGACATCCACTCGACACAGGGAGGACCAATCGCCAGAGCACTTGTCCACAGCAAAAGCCTCGTATGTGCTCCCGGTCACGTTTGAAGAGAACATCCTGCGAGTATTCGTGAAGCGAGAGAGGGGGGAAGCTGACGCCTTAATCAAGAGAGCCGTGACAGTTGCTTTCCGCAACTTTGTCCGGCGATCAGGTTTGGACCCGTCGCCCGCTTCCGAGATGTCGCGCAAGAATAACCATCCCCACACCCCGGGCGCCGCCCCCGAAGCCGAGGAGAACGGGGGTCGAAGCCCGACAACGGCACACAACGACGCCACGCCGCTCGCCGACGATATGAACGCGCGGCTTGCCAAGCGCTTGAAACCAACAATGCAGTCCGACGGTCGGAGTGAGTGAGAAGGGCAAAGCTGGATTGCGTGGCGCGCATGTGTATCGGGAAGTGGCTCGCACGATTTCACCAGTGACATAACAACAAGCATACTGTACCAAATTCTGCCCCTGAGAGCAACGCCTCGAAGACATTCCCCGCTGACCCGCTCGGGAGCCCCCCTGAGCCCCCTCATCAACAGTTCCAGCACCGGCTGTGAAACCGCTAAAGCGCCACATCGACGTCCGATGACACATTCGGTCTGCTGCACCACCCTCGGATGCCCGATGTGAAGCCCCGCCGCACTCTGCCTCGACCGACTGATCGTCACAAGTTCCACGGCCGCCCCCCCCACCCCCCGAAGCACTTTCCTACCATAAAACCTCGGCTTCGCCCCCCCCCCCCCCCCCCCCCCGCTGTCCTCCCGGCGTTGTCGCCTGGGCTATGCCGAGTAGGGTGCTTGTGTGTGATCGCTGCCGCGCCGCACTCATGCAGTGTCTTTGCCGGCCCGCCGTGCGCACGTCGCGGCGGGACACGCGCCAGCTCTGGCCTGTGCCGTCGGCAGCACGGGCTAGCGCGGGCGCGGATCGAGGCCTAGTCGACGCCGAAGGAGGCGACCGTGAACGGGGGCACCCCGGGCTTCAAGAGACCCGTGCGCAAAGGCTGCGAGTTGACGGCCATAGTGGGATGGCACAGGTCGCTTCAGTTGGCTTCACGCCCAATGCGTAGGGGTGGCGGCATGGGAAGAGAATGCATGCCGGTGCCCACTGCTAGTGTCTAGTGTCTATTCGACAAGTGTCCTCATATGAGAACTGGCGCCTCATATGAGTACAGTATTTAAACAGTTCCCGCCACTTGCTGGTTGGCGGGAAACCCCAACCGATACTCTCTCCTATTCCAAACACCCCTTGTTGGTGCTGGACAGGTAAGATTCTCGTTATGAATAGTGTTGAAGAAACAAGATTACGCTTTATTACCTAAAGATAATCGGTCCAGAAATGCTTACAGTCGATTGATTATCCGAATGCTTATCCCGTCTTTCGCTGTCCCCATTGGTGTGGACACAAACGTTTAAACAACGGCCAAAGCAGCGCAGTGGCGCGAGTCCCTCGCCACCTCCGGGCCGCTAACCCAGCGATACTACCCGCTTCGGCAGATGATGACCACTTTTGGCGTTTATTGGGGCTCGCGTTCGTGGCTCACATGAGTTCGAGTTCTGCTTTGGTAAGCTTCAAGACGAGGGGTACATTCCGAGTAAGAGGGAGTAAGCAGCGAAGGAGGATCGCGTTATCTTACCGAGCGCGCGAATAAACAGTCTTCAATGGTTAGGCCACGCAAGAAAGAGTACGGAAGAAAGAACCAGTGATGACTTGATGACTGAGCAGCAGAGATGAGGGTGAGAAAGTGGGAGAACAAGCGAAGAATTGGAGAAGAGAGAAGAAAGGCCAGAGAGATCTGAGTGCCTCTCTTTATACAGCCTTGTTTTCGGCCGCTGGCCGATTTCCAATCCCTCTGCGGACTAGTTACGCGAACGAAGAAGCGTAACGGTTCCTAGCCGTTTTCCAGGTCTTACTGCAACGGTAACTTGACACGGTCCGTCTGAAACGTTCCATGTGAACGGTAAAGTAAAAATCTGTCCGAAAAGTGTTTTTGGCCATGTTTCCCTTCCATAGAGTCGTTGCGCGTTCAACCGAAAATCTCCTTTGTCCAGATTCACATTTCAATTGTCAATGAATGCACTAAAACTCCCATCTTGTTCCTAACACAAGATGTTTCTCAAACTACCACCCATTCTCATATCACTTTGCGATTCCACTCTCACCATGGCTCCGAAGGACATGCGCTTGGTTCCGAATGCTACTGTCCACGCTAAGGCCAATCGCGTTGTGGAAGGCATTCTGTGCAGACAATTCTATGGATCTATGTGGAAAACTAAGGAAGTGCTAGGCACTGTCATCAGCACAGAGACCAAAAAGCCGAATTTCAAGACCCAAACGTTTGTCAAGGGTTCATGGGAGCTACCATCTGGAAACGTAATCAAAACCGTTCTTCTCCGGCACGTACGAGCTGGTACTCCAGCCCCCCGAGGCACTGACGGCCAAATTCTACATCATACACGTCACGAGACTGCCGATGTTATTGATTTCGCCCCGGCCCTACCTGAAGCACCGCGTACACAACCCTCGTCTTGTGACGTATTTCCTCCCATTGCAGCACAGAGCCATGTCATGGAGCAAACAGCCTGTCATGGCCAGATATGGTCCTCCTACGAAGAGGACTGTCATGTCAATGGCATGGTCCGGACGAAAAGATGGGAAATGAAGTCACCAGATGGCAGTATAGTATCTGAAGGTAGTGAATGGCGTGAGAGAAACGCCTTGGACTACTTCTTTATGACGTTCCCAATGGAGTATCTGCCTAAAATTGTACAGCTTACATCAGAAAGCTTGGCAAATGCAGGTGAAAAGGCTACAAATGCCTCCGAGCTCCTCCAAGTTTTCGGAGTTCTCATACTTATGACAAGATTTGAAGTGTGTGGCTCTCGACGTTTCTTGTGGGGGACAAAACCGGTCAGCAAATATCTCCCAACCCCCGATGTCAGCTCTATAATGCCCCGGAGGCGGTTTGATGCACTTTTTGCAAATTTTAAATTTAGTAAGGGGCCAATAAGAAGCGTCGTTACAGAAGACGCACCTGACCGTTGGTGCATGATTTCAGACTTCGTAGAAGCCATCAACAACCACCGTGTGAAGTTCTTCGTGCCATCGGAAACCATCTGCATCGACGAATCTATCTCGAGATGGTATGGATTGGGGGGCACTGCATTGATATTGCATTGCCCCATTACGTGGCGCTGGACCGCAAACCCGAGGCAGGTTGCGAAATACAGAATGCGGCGTGCGGATCAAGTGGAATTATGCTACGATTAGAGCTGGTAATGTGCGCAGACGATACCGCAAGAAAAACGTTCGAAGGTACCACAAATCATGGGACGGCTGTTGTTCGGAGGCTTACAGAGCCTTGGACCGGATCAAGACGCATGGTTGTCGCCGATTCGTATTTTGCCTCGGTCGAGACAGCTGAGCAACTGATGAAGACAGGGCTGAGATTTACGGGTGTCGTCAAGAGCGCTACAAAGCGGTTTCCCATGTCTGAGCTCGGACGCACTGAGCTGACAGGGCGAGATGATACTGTTTGTTTGCAGACTACAATTGAACCAGCTGGTACTGTGCTGCTTGGTTTATGCTGGGTCGACAGAGCTCGACGATATTTTGTATCGACTGCTGGCTCATTGCGCCCTGGGCCTTACGAATGTGTAAGGTGGAGACAAGAGAGCGATGGTCCTCGTCTGGTCCACATTGAAGTTAGGCAGCCTCAACTGGTTGAGCACTACTACAGTGCGAGCTCGGCAATTGACAGACATAATCGCTGTAGGCAAGATGATTCAGGTATGGAGCGAAAAGTGGAAGTCAAGGACTGGCACAAGCGTGTCAACTTGACACTTTTGTCAATCTGCGTGGTGGACTCCTGGCTTCTCTATAAAGGTGGAAAGGGTGCCAAAGGACACAGGCCTCAGCATGTGTTCTACGCAAAATTGGCTGAAGGACTTGTGGACAATGTGTTTTGAACTACTGCTTTCTAAGAGTTGCAAGCCCATTGGAAATGAAGGCTTCATACCCTCCAGTGGAGTCAGAGAACATCTATCACCGACAAAAAGGCGCCGGTTATGTTTTGGAAAGGTTAGCAACGCAGTGTATCAAGGTCGGTGCTCTGTGTGCCAGCAGAAATCAAATTTTGTCTGCTCTGGCTCTAGGGACGACAAGAACCGAGACGCTTTCTTGTGCCACAGTCAAACTGGGCGTCATTGCTTTAACAAACACACAGTAGCAGAGCATTATTACTAAACGATTCTACGACAAAGAGTTACAATGCGGTAAAGATTGGGACTACTGTACCCCAAAAACACCTGCTGGACCCAGGGATTAAGTCCTTAAAGTTATCCAGGAGTCGGGGCTTTAGGGAGCGAGCACACAGTGCTTTAGAGCTGCAAGAATGGGATGCAGTCTTTGTTAAGGAGACCAGTACACGGAATAACTACATATATTTTCGACTGCCTCAAATGAGGCAAACGAAGCCTCATATGAGGAAAAAATTGTGTCGAATAGACAGTAGTGTCTATCGGACCATTATCCTCATGTTATCCTCATGTGAGGACATTTGTCCTCATATGAGGACAGTATTCGACCTATTTCATTCTTGACTTGCGCTTCCTCGACAAGAAAGAAAAGGATACCCCGGCACCGTACTTGACTTCTGACTTAGGACCATAAAGAACTTTGTGAGAATCGCATGTTCTCGGTGGTCGTTTTTAGATATGTCTGGAAAAGAAGCTTTTTCAAACCACCCTAAAATCGTAAATAGAATAACTTCGAAACCAAAAACGCCAGTTCAAAAAGGCAACTTGGTACTCAATCTGCATTACGTTCTTAAGCTTTTTGGGCATTCAAGGCTGCTACACTGATGTTCTGCAAGATGCTATTGCCGAAAACAAGCACGTTAAGGAAATAGTGTTCAAGGTAGCTTTTTGAATGTTCAATTTACTTTTTATATTTTTGCGAAAAAAGAGCTGCCCTCACATGAGGACATGCGCCGGTCGGATAGACACTAGACGACAAGTGACCTCATATGAGGCCACTTTTTAACGTTAATTTTCTCGACATGTGCTTGCTCAACAGAGGTTTCCGGGAATAACCAATATTTGAAACATTTAGTCGCGATGTTCAAAAGCTTGCCCGTATGTCTCGCGAGAAAGCCACCAAAACAGCTTTAGATCGTTACACGCAAAGCCATGCACCCTATGTTGTTTAAAATATGATTTCACATAAGATACTACTGATACAGCATGGGACTGTTGAAAACTTCAACATACCCTTTACAACGCATGAAAAATCTATACCTCGGTACAGTAGTATACTTTTTTAACCAAGGCTTAGATGAGAAACAGGCTATTCCGAATACTCAATTTGAAAGAGCGGGCTTCCTTGCTCTATCATTAATTGTGTTAGGTTTGCGACGGAATGAAAACAAACAGAATGAAGCGCAATGCGGTGCCGGAAACGGTGGCCTAGTACATAAAACTACTTGATACGACTGTTCACTGTTTGGTGTCTTGCACGAATAGTAGCGAAGATCTTACGGTGTTCTCCTTCAACGTCGCTTCCTAGAAAGCAGATGGGATCCTTATAACCTTCATCTGCAACCACCTTCTCCCCAGCAGTAAGTGCAGACTTCATCGCAATTCGATAAATGGTAAGGTCTGGGTACGAGCCACAAGGAAAGGGGCCATGCGTCCAAACAATATATCGGGTCAAAATACAAACAGCCACCTCATACCTCAATCCAGGGCCTCTGAACTTATGCGAGAGCCACTGCGGACTGAATGGGTTTGGTTCGTATATGCGGAAGTCAGTACCATCGACCGATACTTTTCAGGCATTACTACAATTACCAGCGAAGCGGTTTTCCCATTTGATCTTCATTGTCAGACGGACACAAGTGTCATGTACCATTAAAAGTATACCAGAAATGAGTGCATGC